ATTATACAAATATTACCTACTTACTGAATTATGAATTATCATTATTCACGATTAAGGAATTATTAAGAACGGCATAGAAAATGACAAAGAAGACAAAGTTAAAGATGGCAGTTTTGTACTGAAGCTTGTCTCGTGCAAAGATGCACTTAAAGCGACAATCACATTGCAATATAAGAACACTACACCAAAACTTTTTAATGCACAAAAAAAAACTTAAAGATGAGGTTCAAGGAGACATCAATTTTAAGAAGAAATAAGTAACATTAGAGTCATATTTCACTAAGGTCTCCTACTTGAGTCAGGTATATATATAATGTTAATGTGTAAAGAGATTATTAATTTTTTATCAAGTGAGACTTAAGAATTTTTTTAAATATATTATCTTATAAATTTAATAAATTATTAATTTACCATATTGGTCTCAAGTTGGGATCAATCAAAAATATTACTTAATCAAGATTATTAATTTCTCGAGTATTAATTTATAGAGACTTTACTGTACTTTTGTTTTAGATTTAATAAACTTTTATAATTAACAATTGACTAACTATCATTAATCAAAATGTCACTTTGTCATTTTATACTCATGTAACACTAACGTGAAAGATGAAAAATACCACGTGATTATATCATCATGTCACATTAATATATCATATTATTATCTAATATGATATATCAACATATCATCTCATCAACACATGAATATAAAATGATAAATGATATTTTAATTAATAAAAATATTCAACTGTTAATCATAAGAGTTTATTTGATTTAAAATAAAAATAAAAAAACATGAATAAAGGGAAAAAATGAATAAAGTTTTATTTAAATTTTTCCTAATGATTAGGAACTTTTTACGGTATTATATCTTTTTATTATTAACTTTTTATTGTAAAATAGAAACTTAAATTATTTACCTTTTATCATCCAAACTAGTTAACATGTACAGTGGGGATATGCATGTAGTTGTATTAAAAATATTTTATCATAATTTTTTTTAAAAAATAGACCTATTTAAAAAATTTTAAATAAATCTTTATTTTTTTTACTTTCAATTAAGTCTATATATTTTTAATTTTGGTCAAATAATCTCCCATGATCAACGATTAACTAATTTTCATTATTCAAAATATTACTTGTCATTTTATATCTACATGATACTCACATGATTCTGATATAAAAGATAAAAAAAGTCATATCATCACGTTATCAAGTCAAATTAGAATGTCAAGTTATTATCAATTATGATATATCAACATATCTATTATCATCAATTATAACATATTAACATGTCATGTCGGGGTCACTTGATATAAAATGATAAATCATATTTTAATTAAGTCAATAATTTATTAGAAAGATTTAATTGACTAAAAAAAATAAAAATTTATTTAACTTAAAATAAAAATATTAAAATTTATTTAAATAATTTAAAAATCTTTTTAGGACATGTATTTTGTTGCAGTGTTTCATAAGTTAAAGCAAAGGGAGAAGGGGAGGCAATGTCAAGGGTGAAGATGGGAAGGGATTATTATTATTATTATTATTATTATTATTATTATTATTATTGTTATTATAATAGCCAAAATGACTTTTCTTAAGAGGAGGTCATGTTTGGGTGGCTAAAACTCCCCTCCAATTCCATTCCCACTAATGCTGGAATCCCATACCTCACTGTATCTGCACATGACTCCATCTTCTCCTGTACCTTGCTGCATTGCACTTTCCCCATCACCACCAACCTTTAACTAACCAACTGTTCTCTCTCTCTTTCTCTTTTTCTATTATTATTATTATAATGGAAGATTCGGTTACCCACCTCCCAAACATGTCACATGTTCTTTCTCATCTCACCCTCTCCTTTCTCTTTCCTCCAATCAACTAAAGATGCTTAAATTCCATTTTCCCTATTTTCTTTATTTAATAATAATTGCTGCTGTATAAACCAAGGCCAAACTTAGCTTGATTGCCTTGTCATTGACTTGCTACCAAAATATAATATATATATATATATATATATATAAATTTCATTGACTATAAATGAAGTTTGGCTTGGCAATGTATTGGCCTCACATGTGTATTAGATGGTAACCATATGACAAGAGTTTTAAATTAATTGCGCATATATTCTTATGACCATAGCCTTTCTTATTATTTATACATAAATATAATTATAATGAATTTAAATAAATTTTTATTTTCTTATTACGTTTAAATAAATTTTTATTTTTTTATTATTTATAAACAGTTGATTAATTTTCATTTACTAAATTATCACTTGATGGTAACGTGAAAATTAGATGAAAAAGATCAAATAGTTATATCATTATACTAAATCAGCATGTTACATTATCACATATAATGACATGTCAACATATTATATGATATAAAATGATAAGTGATTTTTTTTATTAATAACAATTAATTAATCATTAGTTATAAAAATTTATTTAATTTAAAATAAAAATATAAAAATTTAATTGAATATAATAAAAAATAAAGATTTATTTAATTTTTTTAAATAATTTAAGTTTTTTTTTTAGATATGATGCTTCATAGTGCTCGTCGGTTTGACTAAGTTCCTAAAGGGTATAATTTTCACATTTTTCATATAATTAGGAATAAGGAATCTTGTATATGAACTAGGCTGAGTCCTTTTCGGTATGGGGCAGCATCGGCATATGTTAGTTTAAGTGAGTTGGTGGTTTTAGGTGGGAGAGGGATCCGCCATTGCTAGACTGGACCCTCTCTTGAGATACCATACACGTGGTTTATGTATCAACTCTTTTATATTAGGAACCGTTCTGTATGAGTTGGTAGGTCGACCCATATCCCATGCTGATATTTATTTCTTTGTTCACCTTTCTAGTCATCAAAAAGGCTTCTAGAACTTTATACCCTAACCAAACCATGGGTCTCCAACCAACCCTTATTTTTTGTACTTTCAATATAAGTTTGTGTCAGCTTCATTCTTCATTCTTCTTTCTTCTCCCATTGTACATAGTCCATGTTTTCTTTATTAAACTTGATAATTCGTGTTTTCATATTATAACTATCTCGTCGTGTAAATAGAGAATATTAATAATTATATGAGTAATATATACAACAAAATCATAATACATGTGTTGTTGCTTACGATATCTGAAAAAAGGGTATTGTTTTCAGGGGTAAACTAATGGTGAAAGTCAGAATGTTGATGGTTTTGATGAGAGCTGATTCATGCTGAATATGTTCTTCAGCATGCGTTGGACACCATCCCAATAACGTACACAGGGTGGATGATGCCAATACCTACCGAGCTACAACTCGGATTGAATGCAAAATGCTTCTAGAATAAAGCTCATTTATGGTGTAATGCACCAATCCTGTCCAATCGAACCCACCGAAAAGTCGGTTGCATCTGGTCATTAGGTTGACGACCTTTTCTCATCTCTGGGCAGGGAAGGTCCAGATGATTGGGTTCATGTTTCAGGAAGGCATATGCGCCTAATATTAATATCATCCCCACTAATTTCCCACTTTCCAGCGCCTTGTTAATTAGGAACAATTCCTTTTAGGTGGAGAACTGCCGCTTCTATCTCATGACCATTGATAAGACTTTTTATTGAAGACACACGTGAAATGGTACAAGATAAGATAAAGAGACTTTTAAATTGTTTTTGTATCTCAATTGTCAAAGTGAAACTAACCCATGAATCTTGTTATTTATTTTATATTATTTTTATTATTATTTGTGTGAAATACTTGTTTCACCTATGGTAGTTTTTTTCATTATTCTTCATATAACATAATGTTTAGTGTAAGTAAAATAATTCTCAAAAAACATAACAACATAGTAATTAATATCAAGTATTTAAGGTTTACCGTCTCATATTTAAAAAAAAAAAAAAGAAAGAAAAAATTACCAAAAATCTTGAACGCTGAAACAGTTGTTTTAAAGAAACTGTTGTTCCCAAGGGCATGTTTGCAGAATGGAATGTCCAGCCAAACCTTTAAACAATGGCTTGTTTCCTTCACCTGTCACTGTCTCTGCGGTGAGGTTACTTGATACACCTGTATTAACTTCCTATGCCATTAATTAGCATCAAAGGGTTCAAACCCAAACCAGTTAAGCAATACCAACTATTATTATATTTATAATAATTAATTAAAATCATCAGATGATCATTATCATTAAACAATTTGTACCCTCACATGGGTATCTCTTAAACCTCACATTTCATACCAAAACTTGCACGTTGACAGGGATTATTTCTGATTATAGAATTAACACCCTTCATGTCTAACTCTTTTCTTCTTATGACTTCATTCGATATTTTATATACAAGTCTTCGATTACTGTTACATCAAGAGGGGGGGAGAAGATAAGTAATAAGCTTCAAAATCCGGTAAGCCACGTATGTTCAAATAAATAAACAATTATATAATTGGTGCATGCTTGATCTCATTACAATCGGATTATTTTGTTTCTGTTTGTTGTACGCAAATTAAGTAAAGAAGAAGAATTTTATATCTTTCCTTAATTATGTTGTCTTGTGCCATTATCTTTTTTCAGAGTAATTTTTGTAAATCTTATCTTTAATGCAAATTTGATTGCAATCCACAATAAATATGAATAAAGTTCATATCGAGAATACTTAGGTTAAGACCGTGCAATTTTATCAATTGAATCAAATTTTTGTTATGATTTCAATAATTTATTCGATTATTTAACTTAAATATGATAACTTTATAAACTATCATTACATACCAAGAACTTTTTGGCACATATTAAATGACATGATAATTAACCACAAATAGTTGCTGAATCAGAAAAGTATAATTGTAAAAATTTGGAAACACCCAAATTTTCCTTTTTCTTCTTTTTTGCCCTTTTTGGAAGATTTGGAAAGGCTTTAAAAGTTACCTAAGGTCTAGTTCGTTGTCTGTTCATGGATCCAACAAATAAAAATTAGGAGCAAGGGTCCATTATGATCAACAGACATGCTGGTGAGATTATGTTCACTAAACCAATCAAAAGAATCCAAAAGCATTGAATAGTTTTACAGAGAGAGCGGTGATCAATGGTGTTTTTCCTCTTCTAGATGTGATGGATAGCAAACATCTTGTTCGTTGTACTTAGCAGTGATTACAGAAGACAGGTAAAAGATAGTAATTAAGCATTTATATCAAACTTCTAAAAGAAGAACAAAAAAATAATAGTGTTGACCCTACGAATCCAAAGGTCTACAATATCTATAGAACCCATTTGTATTTTGGCAGCTCCTACAAATTTCATTTCTTTGAAACCCTAATTGCCAACACAAACAGACAGCCTTTGCCACCATAGCTTGTCCAAGGAACTGGTAATTGTGATTATCTAGCTGTGGTTTGGACTCGGCAGAGTTGGCACTGGAAACCCGAGTAGAGTCCTTTGCAGCAGAACTAATCCCAATTGAAAGCTCCAAATTTAACTCTTGCCCATTACTTGGATACTTGTCCTTGTGTTGTTGTTGTTGTTGGCGGTGGTGTAGATGCTGTTGTTGTTCTTCATCTGTAGTCATGCCACTGCTGGTACAGTTGCCTTCTTCAAGGGACTCTGCCTTGGCCTTAACTTGAAATTCACTGTATTTAAAATCCAGAGATGGGGTTGTAATGAAGTTGGTTTTTCCAACTCTGGGTGCTTTTCTGAAATCCAATTCAGCGGGGGATGTTGCTGTGGCTGTGGCTGTGGCTTTGGCGGTGTTGTTTGTTGTATTGGCAGTTTCATTCAAAGGACGATGAGTTTGCGGATCAATTCCTCTACTTATAAGCTTTCTTTTGATATGTGTGTTCCAGTAGTTCTTGATCTCGTTATCTGTTCTTCCTGGTAATCTTCCAGCGATTAAAGACCATCTGCCAATAGATTCAAGAACAGGGAAACCTGTCAGACATGATGAAATTGAAAAAGACGCAAAAGTATCTTTCCTTGTAAAAAAATAAAAAAGGAACACTTACTTGTTTCCGAGTAAACTGTGAAGTTTGATGATAAGTTCATCTTCCTCTTCAGTGAAATTCCCTCTCTTAAGATCAGGCCTCAGGTAGTTTATCCATCTTAATCTGCAACTCTTACCACATCTAAGCAGCCCTGTATAGAAAATTCAGGAAAACCAAATTACCACCAAGAAAGAAAGAAGAAGAAGACGATGATGAAAGAATTATAAAGCGAAAGTTTGGTAAGGGAAGATACCGGCAGCTTTGGGGAGGGAACGCCAGCAACCTTCACCATGGACACGGATGTAATCAATGAGGCGCTGGTCTTCCTCTTTGGTCCAGGCGCCTTTGTTAGTATGTGCTTTTTCGCAGCAGGGTGATCGTCCCATGAAATCAATTCCTTGTTGAATCAATCAGAGGGCAGTTTGATGGATGCCAGATGTACTAGATTCTAGAGAAGAACTTGGCAAAAGGATTGGGATATATGGGATTCAGAAACTAGTACTGGGAAAACGGATAAGTTGGGTTGTGATTTATATGTGGATGTGTGTTTTTGTTGTGTTCCTGTTTGAAAACTGATGGGAAGATGTAATAATTATTTGAGAGAGGGAGGGAGGAAGAGAGAGAGAGAGAGAGAGGGAGTTCTTTGTTGAAAGAAGTGGGAAGAGAGGATTTATACATGGAGAGAAAGCAGGGAGGAGCCAATAGACTCGATGTATATGAGGAGGGGAGTGGGGGTGGGATTTGACCAAGTTGGTAAGAAAGACAAGTGGTTAGAGATAGGGCTGGATTTGGTAGGTAGCTCTACTTTTACGTCAGATTCATATTTTTTAGGCTGTCTTTCTTTTCGTTTTGTGGGCTCTCTTTATGTGGACCAACTCACCATCTTTCAAAATCCAAATGCTTCTTCCAATTCCAAGGTGTTTCTACACACAACCAATCACTCTCTCCCCCCACCCATCATCATCATCATGGCATGGAAAAAGTTGGCCATTTCCCCACATGGAATTTTCTGTGGGCTCACCCCATTCCTTTAGGCTAACCTTTTTACCTGCTAATCTTCTTGTTGGCTTAACTCTTACCTAAACATTGGATCCCCCAGATGGGCTGCACGCTCCTGCATTCCATTTGATTGAAGAGGAGAATGAACCTTTGAGGGATATGATGTCAAATGGGCAAAATTACCATTGAATTCAATTCAAACATCACCAGTCAGCACAACAGTGTATCCTTGGAACCCATTTTCGTTTCACATTAAACTCCAGACCCTGTGGTTTTTTTCTTTTTTAAACAGGAAGAGATAGTTTATTGAATTTCATTCAATTCCAAATTTGACTAGACCTGATATGAAATTGGGGTCTTCCCTTAGTATTGTGCCCTAGATTTGGATTCTTCCCACTTTTCATACTTCATCTGGTTGCTGTAGCAGCCCTACCTACTCAAGTAGTTATCAAAAGATCTAGGTTATTACACTTCTAGAAGCAGCTGCCAAGAACTCAAATTTGTCAAAAAATCTCTTACCTTAATCACAAGGATTGTGCCCATTTGAAATATTACCCATCAAGGAGATCTTGCCTGGATTCTGACAAAGATGGAAGTTACAAAATCTTCAGATTCTAAATTCAAGTCTCATTTCATGATAACATATTCAAATCAACATAATTGTAACTATTGTCAATATTTAAGACAGCAGAACTAATTAGATATTATTGTAACCATCGTCAGAACTAACATGGGCATTTGTTCATTCGTTCAACACGGAGCTTGTTATAGACTTGAACGACTTCATCTCCTCTGTGACCTTCACAAGCACAACAGAAGGCTTCTTGGACTTGGGTTGCAGTTGCAAGCTCCTCAGCAGTAGAATCACCAGCCTTAAAACTTGCCAACACGTCTTGGGAAGACAACTAGTTTGGCCCTGCATGTCTTAAGCCTCTGAACATTGGCTTGAAGACCCTCAAGTGATCGGTTCTTACGGCGGTGATCAACAGCAACTCCGATGGTAGGTGCAAGTTTCTTTGAAATACCGGTAACCTTAAGCTCTTCAAGAGTGAAACCCTTGCCAGCTCCCAAACTTCATGTTGTACTTCAAAGCCTGGCCATGAACAAACGGGCGAAGAGGTCCAGAAGTTGGCCTCGGAAAGATCGTCATTCAGTGCCTCTAATTTGACGAGAATTTCCCTTCACTTTGCTATCTCATCAATTTCATTGTTAAATAATCATACTGATCTTATGTTTAATAATTTTGTACAATCAAGATGAAAATTGCTATGATGAACTCCATCCTACCGTTTTCATTTGGAAAACTAGTGACAAAACACAACCATGTATTATGTCAATAAATGACAATTAGTATTATTTAGTATAATTTACATCTTCATTATATTATTATTGCATTAATGTTTTCAATTCGTATTAAATAAATAATAAAATATATTCTATATATAATATATATATATACACACACACACACACCCCAAGGGTACCCTCATGTACAACCAAAACAAAGCCACAGAATGGGAAAGGATTGGGCCTATTTCCCAACATTGGAAGGCTACAGTGTACCTTATTGCCATTCAATCCTCTCTTGGGCCGATCTTTTGCTTCTACTTATTGCTTTGACCAAAGCCATTGCGGAAACAAAAGAGACTATTTCCCAACCACAAAGCCATTGTTAGCCACCGTATTTATATTGGTCAAAATATCTCATAGGTTTCATTACTATAAGTTTCATATCAATTCAATCCTTACATTAGTCAAATGTTGTTCTTTTGACAAAAAAAGTCAACGGATTTGTGGGTTTTTTGTTATTTTGTAATTGATGCTGAGAATAGACAGGGTTAGTAGTATGAATATAGGGGTATGTATATGTAATTTTGAGGTCAAGAGATTTAATTCATGAAAAACTTGTGCATGGGAATCTATGGGTTTAATATTTTTTTGACTTGCAACAAAAAACATGTGATTGTATATATGCCAACTTCCAATGGGTAACGATCAAAGTATAGGGTTTGAAAAAGTTTTTGAATTATTTGAAAATTTTGAATAAAATTTTATTTTTTATTATATTTAATAATTTTTATAATCAATAATTAACTAATTATCATTAATCAAAATAACACTTGTCATTTTATATCTTTAAACGTTAACATGAACGATGAATATGATACGTAGTTATGTCATTATACAATATCAACATTTCCATCATTATTGATTATGATATATTAATATGTCATGATAACGTCACATCGTATAAATAATAAGTGATATTTTAACTAATAATAATTAATTATAAAATTTATTTAACTTATAAGTATTAAATTTATTTGAATTTTAAAAATAATTTAAAATTTATTTTATGAAATGTTTATACTTGTTTTACATCTAAGCATAAGTTAACCTTTTTTTGACGTGCAACAGAGAACATGTGCCAACTTCCAATGGGTAACAAACACAAACCAATTTTAAATTTTTTATTTCTTTGACTTTTTGATTCAAATCCAGATGAACGGCCAAGGCATTTAACTTTGCATTCTAATGGTGTGAAAAGATCTTTTACTCTTTTGACTTTTAAATGCTTAATTCATTTTGTTTATAAACAGCTTTTGCTGCGTATTCGAATGTGAACACACCTTCCAGTTCTAACTGTTCCAGCATTTTGTCTTTATTTTCATTTGACACATAAGACTAATCTTCAATCAACTATTAATGTTATCATTAAGTAGATGATGTGATAATATTTTTTAAATAATTTTATTTTTTATAAATTTTAAAAATTAACATACTATATAAGTTATAATTTTTATTTTTAAATTTTTTTTATCTCTTATTTAAAAAAAAAATTCCGTCTACCTTTTTCTCTCGCCAACCGACACCCTGATGTTAGAAGGGAGCCTAAGGAAGCATCGACCAGCTGGAAAGGAGTGCACTCCCCTCCCCGACGAGCATAAAGATTACGCTCCCTCTAAGGAGAACTAGCCGGATCTGACATTCCATTCCATATTTTGCCGCAGGGTGGCTGGTTGGTGTAAAAAAGCATCATCGGCCAACTTGAGAAAAAAGAAAATAGTGAAAAAGAAGGAAAAAAAAGGATATTTTAAATATTTCATGTTTACTTACGTCCTTTATACATTTGGGATAGACTATTTGTTTTTAATACTAATGGACTCAAATGAAATTGTGACTAAAACTTAAAGATCAAGATATTTTACCCTTTGCTTTCCTTATTTGATTTTTTAGTTTTAGTAATTTTAATAGCTTTCCTTTTTTTTTCTTCAAAAATGAGATTGTTGTCATTGTGTTTTAAAATAAAAAATTATCTCTTCATATGAAAAGTTATATTTTTTTATATAAAAAGATTGTGATTATTGAAAAGATATATCAATTGAAATGTTATGTCACATATTGTAATTATTAGATGCTTGATGGTTTTTCATATTAAACATTAAGTCCCTTAGTAAAGTGATATTTGAAAAAATACCTTTAAATTCAAAAGTTATTGTCGCAACATGAGAGTATGAGATTAGGTGTGATTGATCACCTGTTGACTTGGTGTTGAGTCTTTAATTATTATTTTAATATCATCTTAGGCAATCGGTCAGTCATTGATCATAAGATGATTTTACCTATGCCAAGTGCATGAAATTGCACCTGATGGAGCTCATTGCATTGTACGATTTTTGGTTTCTACTAGCTGGCTTTTTTTCATTTTTCTTTTATTTATTTTTTCCATCCTTCTTGTCTCTAGAATATTCCGGAGTTCCTTTGGTGTTTAGTCTTTGTTTATTGTTTTAATTTGGTTTAGTTGGTTTGATCTGTTTTCAGTCAAATCAACCTCAATGGGCTTGTTTCTGCTAACAGGCTTAGGGATATTGCTAGCCCAACAAAGCCTAAAGCTGCTAATGATCAAGAAAGTCTAAGTTTTCACTTTTGGGCTTGATATTGACCCATGACACAAATAATCGCAAATAAATGCAAAAATACGAATAAAAACAAAACCAAGTCAAATTAAATTGAAGACAAAACTAAGCGAAGAAAACAAATCAAACTAAGGTAATAATAATCAAAATTAAAAATAAATAATATTAAGTAAAAATAAAAGATAAATAAAAATTAAAATAAAGTAGATAGTGTCTATAGTTATAACACCACTATTTATAAGTTATGATGTGAAAAGTTATTGTTTTATATTATTATTTTATGTCTTGTAGTATAAATGGTTGTCCTTTTATAAGATAATTATTGGAACAATATCTTTAACCAAAGGTTATATCTTATAACATGCAAATGTGTATTTAAGATATAAATGTATCTTAATGAAAGGATTGTGTTCTTAAATAAGGAATACTTGTAAATCTATATAAAGGATTTTTTAGCAACCATTTTGATACACAACAAAAAGAAAGACAAGAGCAAGAAAACAAAAGCAAAAGAAGTGGTATGTTCTAAATGAATGAGACAAGAGGATCATGTTGTTTAATTTGATGGTATTGATGAGAAGAAGGTTCAACTATATTGATAAAGTTATGGCTTTGAGTGAAGAAATCTTAATGAAGAGATTGTTAAACATTTTGAAACCATTTATAGCCCAGAAAACTATTGTTGTTAAATTAAAAGAGTTTAATTACCCTTCACAATTTAGAGAGATTTTTTACCCAAATCAAAATTCGGGAGACAATTTTAAAAAGTGATAACAACAAAGTTTCATGACCGGATGATTTTAATTTCATCTTCTTCGATAATCAATGGGTTAATATCATAAGGTGGAGTAATGAATTCTTGCTCTTTCCATGAATGCATTAATGTACCTTTAATTCCTCACCCTCCAATCATTTTATTTTTAATTTTTGTATTTTCATATTTTGTAATAAATTTGTGTTTTTTTTTTTAATTTTAGAATTACTACAATGTGGACCATCAAGTCCCAAGGTCCAAATTGCCTATTAAGCCCAATTAGAAGTTTGGGTTTGAACCTAATTAAGGAATTATGCCTCTAGCCCAAATAGCAAATTAAGCTTTAGGTTAAAGTTAAATATAAGCCCAAAAGGTTCTGAAATAAAAGTCAAATTAATCTTGAAAAATTGAAGTAAATTTAAAAGAATAGAAGCTAAAGTTTTTTTCTGCCACTTTTCTTTAAGTTTTTTTTTTAAATTTAGTTTTAAAAGAAAAGTTATTTTTTAAAGAGTTTTTCAAAAATTTTATTTGATTTTACTTTTATTTTTAAAAAATAAATAAATTGAAAAAAATCAAATCAAGCAAGTACTTAATCTAAATTGTTCTTGAAATTTATATTAAACCATATGATAAAATATGTTATTTATAAGTGAAATTTTAAGTAACTTTTATAAAACTTAAACTTATTTGTTATTAAAAACGTCACGTAACATGAATATTAAAAAAAATCTTTATGAAAAATTATTTGATATAATTAGAGTTGTTATGTATTTTTAAATTAAATAAATCCAAATTAATTATGGTTAAATAACAATTATATGAAAAAATAAAAATATTTCTAACGTGTAAAGTTAATTATCTATAAATAAAATAAAATTAGCATTTCAATTATTATTATATATAATTAAAATTTTGTAAGATAAATTTATAGATTATTCAATAATTATTAAATAAAATTTTTTTTATAAATTTTAATATTTGTAAACATTTTTAAAGAAAGTAGTTGGATACAATTTAAGTTTATATATATATATATATATTTGTGGAATTATCGAAATGAGGATAAAGAAGAAGGAATTTAGATAAATGTCACCAGTTTCTGTGAATACTCTTTTATATCAAAGATAGGCCATTGTCCCCACGAGGAGCGAGGACCCCAGTTTGATTAAACCCCGGTTGTGGCAGTGGCATGGCCATGGCGTCGGCGGATGTTGATGGTTGAGATTATCAAGTGGCAAAGGAAAAGGAGTGAAAGCTGGCTGGTTTTATAGTGCGCAGTGCGCATCCTCCATTAAAGTCGTTCCCCCTTGGGCAAACCAAAGCAGCGGCTGGCCTTTGTCCGTGATCCCTGAGGCACCGACCTTTTTTTTTTTAGAAAATGAGGCATTTTCTTGCTGAAGAATTAAGCACTTACTTTTGCCGCCAGATCTTAGCTCGTGCCTAGGGTTTTCTCCATTACATCCTACTCTTTTTTTCTTTTTTAAAATGCACGGCCTAAGCCGCCTCGGGACCGGTAGTAACCGTTCGGTCTCCCCTTCCCCGCCTTCCTCGCCGCGGTTCCGCCATGGCCGTTACAAGAACTTTAGTGGAGCTGGAGGAGGTGCGGGTGGTGGACGTGGCGGGAAGCAGAGCGCGGCGGATAGGATAGTGTTTGTGTTGATATCGACAGTGTTTCGAAGAAAAGGCGTGCTTCTGTTTGCGCCCTTGTTGTACATTTCGGGAATGCTGTTGTTCATGGGCACGTTAGGTTTCGATGTTGTGAGTTTGAAAAATGCGGTTGTTGTTGTCCACAAGCGATCGCCACCAGGGTCGGTTTATCGGAGTCCTCAGGTTTTTCAGAATCTTTGGCCGTTTATGGAGGCTGAGCGCAATGCCAGTTACAATGCGGTATATATTTATACATGTTGCATCTACTTGTCTCTTTCTTGTACTTTATTAGTTTATTTTGAGACTTCTAAGCTGTTTTTTTGAAATTTTTATTTTTAGGAACACCGGTGTTTGTACAAATATTCCATATTCCTTGGAATATCAAGCTTATACATATTTAATATAATTTAATTAAGCGACAGAATGAAAATTGTGGGTCTTTTGGAGAAGACCTTGTAACATCTATGATTTCTAAGATTAAATATGGAAGTGATGAAATGGAATAGGGTGTGATTCTTATTGCATGCTGAAAATATTGGGGATTGAATCGAATCTGTGGGAAACAACATATGCGAACTTTAATGCTGGTTATATTCTGAAATAAGTAAAGATTATACATTGATTTTGTAAAATGAGTTAAGAATCTATGTTGCTTTCTTGATTTGCTGCATTTAGGCTGTCTATGCATTGTACCACTTGGTGTGGGGATATGAGAGTAATAATGTCAAGTAAGACAATCAAAGTCTCATGGTATTGGTTGTGCTTGGTCTAACGGAGAGTATCTAAACCATCTCTTTCTCTGGCAGATAGGGTAGTTGTCAAATTTTGGTCTGCACTATGCTATTCATCTTGCAAAAGTGTGTATTCAATGTGTTATAGCCTTTGAAGCCTGGAGATGGGTTATGATCCATGTTGTAGCTGCCTCAGTGTTGTAGGTTAGGGGAGTTTTCCTAGTTAGGGTTTATGGTGAACCAGCAGTTCAACTAGATAATAAGGTTTTTGGCTATGGTTGGAGTTAGGGCTTAGGAATTAAATATTATTTGATTTTATCTTAAAACTGGAATTTTGAGCAGAATGATTGCTGTAATTTCTGGATTGCAGGGAAACCAGAATAAGAACTTTATGGATGTTGTTCTTGTTCTCTAAACAATAAGGCTAGAACATTGTAGCAAAAATGAATGGGGGTAGGGAGGGAAGGAAACTTCAATCACGTAAATAGTGAATTCTTCAAAACTCTCATCAAAGAAATCTATTCTACAAATCCACTTTACCATGTCTAGCAATAGCTATTGATATAAATAGGTAAATACCCACTTGTCCTAAGTGGACAGGATTTCTAAAACCATTACAATTAGGAAAAGTACTCAACTAATTTAGCCAACATCTGACCCAATGATCATGCCTTAGTCATGATTTTGTAAAAAAGAACATCACTGAATACCCATTGATACCAAAACTCAATTAATTTGATAAATTTGCTTTTCTAATATGTCTACTTAGCTTCCAAGCACATCTGCCCTTGGACCAAAGAACTTCTGTGCTGATAGAGAACCCAGTCCCAGCCTTTTCCTTTGAAAGGGATGAACTTTATCTAAGCAACCTATTCATGTTCTATCACCCAGCCTGATTTGTCATGCAAGGGCACATTGGGAGCATGGACAGATCAGTGAGTTCAAGCTAATAAATTGTGTAGTCTTTGAATAAAACCAATTCCACTGTATCCTGACAGTCTCAGTTGTTTATATGACAGCCTTTGGGAAAAAAAATAACAAATCCCCTTCTAATATACTGTCGCCAGAGTGCACTAGATTTTTTCCATTAAGCATAATTTACTCATGTGCATCTGAAGGTTTCTATATGTTCATAGCCATGATAGAGTTTGGCTAACGAAAGACAAATGACAATCATGCAGTTGATGACAGCGTGGAATCTGAAAATTCATCAAGGATGGAAGCCATGTGCCAGCTCTATTATCTCTAGAACAGGTTTGAGTTATATCATTTCAACTACTAGAGTTTTCAATCAAGGACCTAACTTGATTATGTTGATTTGTTTTCCCCAATTTTTGTAAACTACAACCCTCATCTTGTAGGTTTGTGCAAATCATCCAAGTTGATCTTGTAAATATGGTAATTTAAAATCTCTGCTTGAGGGCTGATATTCCAAGCTTATGTAGAATTTTACGCGTGTATTTTAAATGCTTTGCTTTTGTTCCATCTCTCGTTCTCTCAATTTCCAGGAGACACAAACACTTACAGGTCTGGAAAAATGAAAATAATACTATAACTTTTCGGTGGCTGCATCATCATGTAGCATTAACAATTAATGGGAAAATTGAAGGGCATTAATTGTCATCAGATTGATAGTATCAGCAATTCTATTTAGCCATTTTCCTCTGCCTTTTGTAAATATTAGAAGCTAAATGCTGCTTTCTGTGATTTCAAGGTTTTTCAGAGTTGCCAAAGTCTAACGGTTTCCTTATAATTGAAGCAAATGGTGGCTTAAATCAACAACGCTTATCGGTATGTTTCAGTTCTTAATGAAATTGGTTGCCTGTATTAAACCTCAAACAATCAAAAGATGGTGCAGAACGCTTGTTTGCTCATGTTAATGTTGTTGTTAGTTCCTGTTGTTTCTTCTTCATGCTCCCTTGTTATCATTATTCATAAAAATAGTCTGCACTTTGTTATATGGTTTTGTTCTTACTAAAACCTTTTCTTCTACTGCTTACAAATATTGGTATTTTGAGTAAAAGAATAATAATAGTTGTGGAATGTTGTTAATGATTATGTTTGGCTTTGAAAGGTACAAAACCATTTTGAGACTTTGAAGAAAAAAAAATGTATGGACCATTATTATGATATGCAAGGATTCTATTTTTTGGTTTATGATATTGGCTTTACCATATTGATGGCTGAAAGATGCAAAATGATTGGCTTATTGTAATCTGAATACATTTAAGTGTTTGGCATTAGGGCTTGATCGAGTTAATCATCTTTGGGTGAGACCATATCTAACAAATTCTTTTTATGCATGTTTTCATCTTTTGCATTGTTTTTCTGAAAGATTGATACTCTGAACCATTTTTAATTTGTTGGGGCTAATTGATAAATCTTGGGGGAAATGGCCAGTTAGGCATGTTGGCCTGGTAACAGTTGTTTCTTCTGGTGTTTTGGTCAATGTTCAATTTAATCTGAACCAGAGTGTGATACTAGGGTAAGTAAGAGTTTCTGCAAACTTGTATGTCTTAATCTTTCATATGAAGAATGGAATTAGTGAAAGTTGAGTTGGCTTGCAATTATTTATTGTGGAAGATAAAATAATGTCACTGTTATTTGATTGCTTCTTCATACTTTTAATACAGATATGTGATGCAGTGGCAGTGGCGTGGCTGCTAAATGCAACTCTTCTCATTCCCATCTTTCACTTAAACAGTGTTTGGCGAGATTCCAGGTAATCATCATTAAAATTGTCATTGTATGGTGCATATTCTAACAAAATTCAGGTTTGAAATGAATTTTGATAACCGTTCTCTGTTTTCCTTATAGGCAATGGATTTTGACAAAATTATATTATTGTAGTCACTACTGTGTCTAAAGGTTTCTATTAGTGTCTTTATGTTTGGGTTTTCACAAACTTCAAGTTATTTATATGTGTTTACTAGGTAATTTCCTAGTAAGCAATCTAGTCTATTGCCTTGGAGGTATCACCTTTTGCCTCTTTGGCTACTTGGGTAGCATTGGTACAATTGATTGCTCAATCGGCAGAACCTGGATTATCCTAGCTGTTGCTAACATTAGGCATCTTCTTTAATGCGTGGGTACTCTTTTTTATTTTTTTAAAGTGGCTTCTATCTCTTTGGATATAGTCATTTATGATTCATGATTCTTGAGGCAATAATACTTAAAAAATGAGAGGAGAAAAGAATGAATTGGGAGTTATTTTGTCATCTTCTTCTCTTCTTTATTTTGCCGTTCTCCCTTTGCAGAAGATTGCTTTATGGCTCTTGGTTATTGGGGGTTCCATGAGGCCTATGTTGTTAATGCATAAGCAATTTCACTGGGTTTCTGCTGGTGTTCAGCAGGAGGCAGTAGTTAAGCAGACAGTTAAGAATGTGGTTCTTGTTGGTCCTATTGATGCCTGTTATATTAAGATAAATAACATTTTAGTAAAAGTGTTATTCTCTCTTTCTATCTTGTCCTCTGCCCATCATCTCACCCTCGCTCTTCTTCATTCAGTAGTTTTATGAAGCATATCATTCAAATCAAAATGACAGACAAGGATCTGGTAGTAGATTTTGTAGACATTAGTGATGGACTAATTTTTAAAAGGTGAAGCCGTAGGCTGTAGTCAGTAGAGTTCTAACATTAGTGGTAGACTAATCCTTGTAAAAGTTGGGCATTTACTGGCAAGACCTGCAACTTGTCTTAGAAATCACAAGAGACTTGAGCTAATTTTATTGGAGTTCAGAATTTGAGTTTATTATTTTGTATAATATTTTTTATTGATCAACTGCCTATGAAAAAGTGAAAAATAAATGACTTTGACATAACAAAGGGCATAGTTCTTAATCTGCCATTTTTAGACTTGAAGGAGAAATGAGGTCACCTTGCATGCATCTTGAGAACACCGTTTAAAACAGCAATGATGTATTCATTTGTTATTTGTTTATTGGTCAACTGCCTATAAAGAAGTAAAAAGTAATTCAGTATGGCATAACAAAAGGCATCATTCTTAATCTGCCTCTTTTCTTAGACTTGAAGAAGAAACGTATGCATCTTGAGAGCACCATTTGAAACAGAAATGATGTACTCATGCGAAAAGGAGTCTAGATGTTCAGTTAAATATATGCTTTTATCTGAAAGAGTCCATTTTATACTAATATTTTAAATATTTCCTGTAACTTTTGGTTTGTTTTTATGATTGTTATTAGAATTTTGAACTTATTAAAACCGCTGTTTAATCACAATAAAGAATGTTTCATTTTTCACCTTGTGCTTTAAGAAGTTTCAAATTTATTTGTTTCCTTATCATTTTTCAATTCATTTCAGCAAGTTTGGAGATATATTTGATGAAGAATTCTTCGTACATGCTCTTAAAAATCATGTGAATGTGGTCAGAGAGCTCCCAGAAGATGTACTTCAAAGGTTTGACAGTAACATCAGCAATATTGTTAATTTGAGAGTAAAAGGTTGGTCAAGTCCAGCCCATTATCTTCAGAAGGTTCTTCCAAAACTAGAGGCAATGGGGTATGTATTCTACTTTTATTTATCATGAGTTCCCAATTTCCCTTTCTCTGTGGAAAGAGCAAAATTGTGATAAAATTGAATCAATATTAATGTTTGTCCCATTCCATTTTGATTTTTGTATGAGTGGCAGATGGAAATTAGGTAGTGTATTCACCTCTAGAAGAACACAATTTATGACAGAAGGATGATGGATAAGAACAATGTGTTGTGCTACAAAAAGCTGAATGCTTTGATCAGCTTAACTGAATTTTACTTGGGAACTGGTTGGAATCACTTATGAGAGTCCTTTTCCTTCATTCCTTTTGGTTTGGGAAAGATAATAAGTTGAACGTCCAAATTACAACTGAGAAGTGCCCAAACAAATTGCCTCGAAATTTCAGCCTGTAGACTCTTATTGTAACCGAAAACACTTGGAAAGACAAAATTTTTCTTGCCATTATCTATTCAGCACATGAAACGAATTTCATCTCTAGATTGTCCACGGTGGTTTCTTCAATGTCAAATCTTAAATTGAAAAGCCTTTTTTCCAAATCAAATTAGTAATTGATAGCGGTGTAGATCTTCCATTTAGTTTATTTTATTAAAGATGCCTTGTGGTGGCTGGAAGATAGTGTTCTTTATGAATTGCTGGAAGATACTGTTCTTTATGAATTTAATTCATGCTGTATATATCTGATTTATCTGCAAAATTTGAGGTATATTATTCTTTTGGGTTGTTTAAAGTCTTACATGTATTTGTGGTAGAGCATCTTATATTTTCTGATATTCTGAGTTATATTCAGTGAGAGCTGCTAATTTTAAGATATATAACCTTATCATAATTTTACATCTATCCTTCCACAAGCTCCAGTTTTGACGATAGGGGATTAGGCTTTGTTGACATGGATTTGCAGCACTTCATATACAATAATCTTATTGCTATATGTGTCCACTTTTTCCAGGGCTGTTCGCATTGCACCCTTTTCTAACCGGTTGGCATATTCAGTTTCTTCAAACATACAAGGGCTTAGGTGCTTATCCAATTTTGAAGCACTGAGGTTTTCTGATCCTATAAGGATGCTTGCTGATAAAATGGTTGAGAGGATGGTCAAGAATAGCTCCCATAGTGGAGGAAAATATGTTTCAGTGCATCTTCGGTTTGAAATGGTGCTCTTCTTATTTTTTGTACATGGATGAATAATCACTGATTCTTGAATTTAATGCTTAGCCGAATTGTATTCTATTTCTGAAAGATACATGTTTTCTTTGGGAAGGACATGGTTGCATTTTCATGCTGTGAATATGATGGTGGGGAAGAAGAGAGACATGAGATGGATATTGCTCGAGAAAGAAGTTGGAGAGGAAAATTTAGGCGAAGGGGCAGAGTTATAAGGCCAGGTGTAAATCGTATGGATGGAAAATGCCCTTTAACTCCTTTGGAGGTATCCAAGTACAACTTATTTTGCTTTTCTTTATGGGTCACTTTAAGGCATGCTATGCAATGTTCTCAATTAAGTTGTTCAATTAGTGCTCTTTATTTTACGAAAGACAATAGATGAGATCTGATTAGCAAATGTTCCCATTGCAACATTTATAAAATATCACTACAATCTTATTTGGTAAATCTCCCTGTTCAATATTTGAAATTTGTAAAGATGTTGGCTGCTGGTGTTTAGGTTACAAAGAATACAGTCACGTGATAGGTTAGATATCTACTTTTTCAGATGAACTCCATAATCTAAAAAGTCTACTATTTGTATGGGCAGAATGTGTTGTAATAGAATTAAGTTTGCTGTGTTGTCTAAAATCAATATTTACTTCTGGTACATATGGGGGCTCAGTGGACCTTGGGCTATATGATGGTAAGTAGCCTCTCCCATCTATAAATCCCACCAGCATTCCCAAACTTTGAACTTGAGATTTTCTAGTTGTAAGTCCTAAGTTCTAGCGATCACAGTGTCCCCTTTGAGACAGGCCAAAAAAAAAAGAAAAGAAAAAGAAAGAAAAACAAACAAACAAACAGACAGAAAACCAATCTTTAACTTGTTAAGGCATTTGCTATGGGTGCTTTAGGGTTATGTGCGATTGCAACCATATGATGTTTTAGATATCAATCTCTTTGGATGATAACTGTCATGCCACCCCCTCAAAGCTAAGAATAAAATTCTAGAGTCTAGGAGTTCTACCGTCAATATTTACAACTATTATGCTCTCGAAGGAATGAGTGGCCTCTGGATGGCAAGAATGGGAGTCTGATTGATGTTTCTTATACCAGGTTACTTCAAAAAAATTAAAAATTACTTTAGTGCTCTTGAAACACAAGGTTGTATTATGGTGTTGTGAATTTGGAAACATTTTTTATTTATAAAGTTACCTTTTATTGTTGCTAGGGTGTCTGTGGAGAAATTGTGACAAAAAGTGAGTATTTCAAACTCTTCAATTAACCAGATAGAAAGATGGGAGTTATTATGAATCTGAAAAAGATGTGGATGAGGCCATCTGAAAAAGATGTTAATGGTTTTGACAAAGTGGATCAATCCAATTTGGTTCATTCATAGCCCTAGGTTTAAAGCATTGGACACAGTTTTGTAGCAAAACTAGAGTTTGAAACTTGGACAACTAGTTGAGCTTAAGGCTTTGTTGAAAGACTAACTATTACTTTGAATGAGCAAAGGCGATGCAGAATCGTAATAATAATTAAAAAAAATCTTATGTAGATGAAGAAGAGTACTAGCATAGTTGATTGTTGCCCAAAGTTTAGCCTACTGTTCAAAGTACAAGCAAGATATGAGTTATCTAAATCAAGCTAACATTGTAAGTTCTTTATTTATTTGAAATCTTCTATCAGGAAAGTAAATGTGAAATATAAACATGGAAGTAACTTATCCTTTTTCATTTCTTTTCCATTTTATATTTTATTACTGTATTTCTTATGACCACATTTTATTCATCTTCCATTTCAGATTTCTTTGTATGTTATGAATTTTTAATTCAAGATTCAAAAAATGTGAATTGCCCTTATTTATCGCATTGTTCTCATCCATTTAAATGGGCTGATGTGTTATAATAAGATAGTTCCTGAAACCCCTATAAGTTTTTAGATAATATACTACGATCCTCGGGATAGTTGTCATCAGCCAAAATTTGCTTTTGATGTGGGCCTGCCACCTGTATGAACACTTTGTTTTCTCTTCCTTAATATCTTAATTTTGATGCATAATTTTATACCATTTTTAATGCTGTCATTTTATTTATTGTTTAATCAAATATCTTCTTGCGGTTCTGTAGGTCGGAATGATGCTTAGGGGCATGGGTTTCGATAATAATACATCAGTATTTGTCGCAGCAGGAAATATTTACAAAGCAGAAAAATACATGGCTCCACTTAAACAGATGTTTCCGCGTTTAGAAACAAAAGATACGCTGGCTACTCCAGAGGAACTTGCTCCATTCAAGGTATCAAGCTTTTAACTTGTTGTGGTGCTTTGTTTACTGTTCCTGTTAGAGCAGAATCTATTTTTTTTTTACTTCAAAAGAGGAAGAAGAAAGCTAGAAACAGTTCAATTTTGTAACATTGTAGTTTGTAATGTAGGGCCACTCGTCGAGGTTAGCTGCACTTGACTACACGGTTTGCCTTCACAGCGAAGTATTTGTCACAACACAAGGTGGAAACTTTCCCCACTTCTTAATGGGTCACCGACGCTATCTATATGCAGGACATGCGAAAACAATTAAGCCTGACAAGAGGAAATTAGCACTGCTTTTTGATAACCCTCATATTAGGTAAATTGCGGTTAAAATTTACTTCATTCTTGTCAGTATATTTTTTTGGACAGATTTGTTACTTGTTATAAGCCAGTGTTTTAGGTCTCATCTTTGTATAAGCAATTACTTTGGGTGGCATTGCCCATTTGCATTTAAAATTCCATGCGTCTGCAAATATGTTGCTAAGGTTTTGTGATCATTCTCTGATGGATCCTAAGCCTATTAGTTCTGCGTCTTGCATGTAAATGTAATCATGTTGAGCTCAGAGGAGTTCTGGCATCCTTCTCTTCAGTACCACCATCCTTCTTAGCTTGGCAGTCACTACTTGATTCAAATCTCTGTCTATGATCATCACTCCCCTGCCAAAATCATCTGATAGTGGCATTAGCAAATGTGATAGATTGAGAAACAGCTCATTTGAAATGTGAGTGCATCTTGGACTGCTGCCTTAATTGGCACATCCTACCCTGTCTTGAATAACATCTTCCCTTTAGCTTCTCAACTTACATCCCCATCTTGTTCTTTATCGAACTGAAAATAGCTTGCCTTGAGCAGCCAGTGAATATTGGAAAGGCCAAGATATGTACAATTGTTCGTCATGGTGGATAAATTTTGCTGAATCTGTATCTGTCCATTCTGTGATGTTTTTACTGCTAAAATATAGTTGGGTAGAGTTGGCTGCCTGAAACCCCTCATAGTTTAAAACTGAAATAGCTGCCTACATCACTACTTGAAGCTTTAATGGGAATACTAACAATTATGGGACTCCATGTTTATATTTTTGTCCAAACTTAGTAGAGCTTTGAATTTAATAAGCTAACTGTCCTCCTTGTTTTAAGTTCTAGATTTTTGTCACATCCCTCTTCCATATTATGCTGGGTTCCTGTAGCTGAATAGCTGTAATTTGCTCTGCTTCTTGAGTGATCAGCTTCAATGTCACAAGTTATTAATAGTTATTATTTTTGATTCAGCCCAAGTTCTTCATAGTTGGTTTTGCATTTTTGAGCATGGCCTCTTGTCTCTTCTCTTTTCTTTTTACCTGTTAGCTGTTTGTTATAAGCATCATATTGAAAATCTATTTCTGTTTATTTTTCCTTTCGGTTGGATGAATGTGAATTTTATAATCTGTTAGATCTTTTGATTCAGAATCTTTTCAAAATGCAAATTTAAATGTCCTGTTAATCAGGTTTGTGGCTAATGAGTACCCTAAAGGCACTTTTGAAGGCCACATGTTAAGCAATCATCTTCTGTCGATGCTTTGGAATTCTTTTAACTGTCAACCGCTGCATGTAATACATGAATATTGCTATGAATAGTATCTTAATTAAGCGTAATGTTAACGACCCATATTAATTAATTGTGTTTTTTCTTTTTGTTTGTGTTTCATAGATGGGAAACCTTCAAACGGCAGATGAGAGATATGCTTCGGCACAGTGATGGGAAGGGAGGTGAAGTGAAGAAAGCAAGTGGTTCAGTGTACACATTTCCCATGCCAGATTGCATGTGTAAACAAACAGAAGAAGAAAAAGAAAGGAATGAAAACAGTAACACAACAAAACTTAGTTATTGAACAGCCAGTAGCCCTAGGTTAAGATTTTTCCACACAACCTGTAATTCATAATTGTATCAAGCAATTGAGTTCAAAGAGTAATTCTTTTGATTTGTTTAGGTTAATAGTTTCAGGTGTTCATTCTTTTGAGATTCAGCTCTTCACCATAATTTATCACACTGTAAAATTTGTTGTATATGATAGTATAACAGGTTATTGGAGGTAAATCCCTATACTGATGCACTTGGTTCTTCCTTAACAGTCAGAGTCAATGAAATAAGCATGAACTTTTTATGCCATTATTGCCAATCTAAATAAACATTTCATTCCTCTTATCTTGCAGTTTCAAGTAATGTGAGTTAGATCATATCAAGCAAGAAAAAGATGTAAAAGAATCAAGACCAATGGCAGGCTTTGAATCCATCCATCCATCCATCCAACCATTTTTTGGTACAAGAAACAAGGCAAACAGAACATGGGAGGATCATGAAAATACTTGGATCTTTTTAAGATTTAATTGTAAATTTATTAATATTTGAAATATTTATTAATAATATTTGTTAGATATATAAGTTTAGTTGTTAATTAATTATTATTGTTTTCATTAATTCGATGATGTGATAAGGTTGAAAAAATAATTTTATTTTTTATTAATTTTTTAATTTTAAAAATTATTATTATATAATTTTTTTTTTATAAAAAAAATTTCAAATCAAAAGGAAGGAAGCATAGATCTAGTGCTCCCAAGGGAGGGGAGCAAATGCCGTAGGGTGGTCGGCAGGCGAATGGGAGTACAGTGACCAGTCACACTGTTTGAGAAAAAAAAGAAAGAAAAAATAGGTATTTTAATTTTTTTATATTTTCTGTTAATGGTGTTTGCACTTTTAAATTTTATTATTTATTTTAAAAATTAATGAACTTGTATGAAATTTTGGTTAAACTTTAAAAGAGTTCAAGTATTTTATCGTAAATTTATGGATAATTCATTATCGACAAAAAAATATAAATAAAAGCCCCTAGAATGTATTAACCACAAATATCTTTTTTGTTTGAAAAGCATTAACTAAAAATATCTAAACTACGATATTAATAGAGTTGTTGTCGGTAAATTCATCACTATTTAAAAAGAATATCAATTAATATAACTATCAAGAATGCGATCGTTGATAATCAATACCGACGGATGTAACTGATCAATAATTTTTAATCAATTCATATTTATTACGTATTATCAAATTATTGATAACTTGTTGACGAAATGAATTCTTTTGATAAATTTCATCGATAATGTATGATATTTCATTAATTTTTTTTATCAATCAAAAAATAGTTAGTAATCCATCAAAAATACTAACGAAATGTTATCGTCAGACTTTGTTCCTTCTTGGAAGTCTCTCTCTCACTACCAAGCTTTTGTTTGGTCTCGTAGGTGAGAAGAGAGCCACTGAGTTCATCTTATTAGGAGAGTGACGAGGTTCTTGGCTTCCTCAACGCTCCCATGACCTTGGTAGATTATGGAGCAATTTCTTCACCAATTCTCTATTTGGACATCTTTCCAAGTGCTTTCAATCCATTTAGAATGTTGGTGAACTTTTCCTCCATGAATTTATCCTCCTCCATTTGAAACAACTCATAATCAAGGGCAAGCATCAATCTTAGATTTGGTGCCTTCATGTCTCACCCTCAAGCTCATCTCATTTTCCTTTGATTCTCTATTGCACTCACTTACTCCAAGAGCACAAAAGAGTGTATGCATTGCCTTAGCATTTAGTTGTGCCATCTTTACATCATTGGCATCCCAAAGACAAGATACCCTTTGAAATAACCAAATGGGGAGAAAGACCAGATTCCCAAAATAGCCTCAGCTTTCTCCAAAATACCAGCTACATCCCAAAATCATGGTGAAATTGTAGCTGCCAGGTGTGTCACAATTGGATATCAATTCTAACCTTCATATTTGAACTGAGAAACAAGGAGATAAGTTGCCTTTATCCATAAAGCGGCATTTGACATAAGCAAAAGCATTGTACTGATAAGAAGCCTTTATTTATAACATATCAAAAGCATCTGATGAATACATGTCACAAGAATAGAATTAAATAACACATATAATCATAGGATTTTTATTTTTGTACAGAAGTTACAAGATTACTACATTGATGCTAGAAGGGATTCTCTCACAAAAATGCTGGGCATGCTTCCTTGCAGTTTGCAATCTATCCTTAAAAGGAAATGAGCTGCCTGCTTCAACAGATTTACCAGAAGCACTCAAATCTTTTCTGCAAGGATCGATAACAATCTTCTTCAAAGCAACGGCATTTTTAACCACGTGCTCAAGCAGTTGAATTTCGTCTTCGAAACCAAAGAATCCTCCTACTTCAATCTCCTCGAGTTGTTGGTGCACAGACTCTGATGTAATCTCTGTTCTACTTGGACCAGGCTGGCTCCTCAGATACATTAACTGCAGAGTTAGGGAAAATAGTTAATAAAAGCACAACTTTAAAAAATAACTCTCCTGTCACAACTCAGAAGAAAAATCAGTATTCCAAGAGAGAAAAGGGGAGAAAAAGAAAAGGAATTGCAATGGTTGAAATTGCATTTGTGAATTTGTATAATATTACATGGAACTCATCCCTCACTGGTAGAGACCAAATGAGAGAGACTCACATCAAATGCAAGGACAATCAGAGAAAACTTGAGTGAGCGTAACTGCAAATGAGACCAAGTGCACAACAGCATCTCTACCCTCTTCAAAGATAAATAAATCATTTTGGCGTCTCATGCAGTTTAATCATAAGAATCCAAAGTAGAAATTAATACTTACATGCAGCTCAAATCTACGGAGTAAAGGAGATAAATCTAGAAGATGAATGAAGGCTGTCACGCTGTCTTCTTTACCAGAAACCCACAATACCAAAACTTTAAGATTGCATAATGTAGGTAATATGCCAATTCCCCTGCTAACCTGAACATACAACACAAAGGTAAGTACACAAAACCAAGCAAGCATACAAGGAACGAAACAAGATGTGGAGGAACATTGGGCAACATACCTCATGAGGGCTGACCTGCAAGACTAGTTTTTCTAGCTGATGCAAGTTGCCAGCAAATTGCACGCCAGCATAAGTCAAGCGATCATCACACGAATGATTGCCGACACAAAAGGAGACCTCAGTAAGGCGTGGAGCACTTTTCAAGTGAACCTTATGCCCAACATATGTAAATGTTATGAGATTCGAAGCATAAATATCAACACATTTCAAGCTATGACAATAGTAGATTGTCAAGCACTTCATATTTGAGGATGAAGCATCAACTTTTACACTGACTAGATTAGCTGCTCTTTGCAGGCTTAGGTACTCAAGAGATGAACAATTAGACAACAAGTGTTGGAGAACCTCATCAACCAATTCAACCCTCTCCAAGAAAAGATGCTTAAGAGACCTGAATTTCCCGATGCCCGGAAGAGTGAGAATGCATGAAGATAACGACAAATATTCAACAGAGGTTACTGTTTCCACTGGGAAACAAGATGGGAATGTATATTTTAATGAAACAGGGAAGAAGTCCATACGAGTAAGGGAGTCAAGATCCATCCGTTTAACCTTTTTAGCTATCGCAAAGTGAATCCAACTATCAATGTGCGAGGCTAGATCTACACCTAAGGTGCAATGAATTCTAAATTCATCAAGACTTTTCCCCTGATAGAGGTCTAAGACACCATTAACCCAGTCGACAAATTGGTATTTGTCCAAGCCTTTCGAATCCCGACCAGGTCCTAACTTGTTTACAAAATCAAAATTTAATCTAGGAACAGATTTCCACAAGTGTCTCCATCTTCTCGAGAGGATGCCAGATCGTGCAGCATTCCTCAACGATAAAAAAGACAGGATGTGTACAAGAATTTCATTGGGCAGCTCACTGATTCTATCTTCCATAGTGTTGCTTCTCTGCATAAAAAATTCACCACCAATTGAGTAGTAGGAAAACCAGGTATAGAACGAACAATCGAAGCACAGAAGCATAACATTTATAAGCAGTTTCAGAGACTCTTTCCATATTTCACAAACTAAAATAAAACCCACAAGCAATTAGATGGAGAGATTGGGATAGATTTACCTTGAAGCCGCAAAAGTAAGCAACAACACTAGTTCTACTCGGTTATTCAAATTTTTTCCAGCACGCTGGGCTTTGGGAAATTTCAATCGGAAGAGCATAATAAATACTCAAAATACAACCTTTTACTCAAACTCTAATTAGAAATCCGACTAATAATTAAATTTTATTTTTAAAAAATATAAACATATCAGGTAATTGTTTCTTTCTCTGCAAATTCCAGAAAAGATCAGGTAACATGGAATGTTGTGAATTTCATACAAAATCAACATAGACATGGAATTGTCTAATTACTTCCCCTGTTCTTGCCATAAAAATGTTATTATATATAAAAAAAAAACACTAAAAATCATCAGAGAGTCGCCATCAAAAACCAGAAACGCGAGAACAAGAAAGCATCAAACGCTGCCTAGCACAGCTAAGATTGGATGATAAAACAATACTTCCGTAGAAACAATTCCTCCGACTAACCTTTGGATTCGCTCTTTGCATTCTCTCGCCGTCTCTGCCCCAACCGTCGTACCTTAACTGGGAATATATACAAATAAAAGGGTAAAAAAGTCCGTGGACCCCACTTCGAATATTTTTGTCTAACGAGGCTTCTAAAAGATAATAGCCGTCCGATTCGTTTCCACTTTTTCTGGACCGTTGGATTATAATTAGCTGTATCCGTATGCACATAAAATGGAGCAACTAGGTTCTGATCTCCTCTATCTTCCCGTGTGCTATTAACATATTCGAGAGCTGCCGCTGGCTGTGTAGGTCTCAACCATAAGTCGCCGCAAAGCCGCCGTTTTCTTCTTCTGAGAAATTGATATGGAAGAAGAAGGGGAAAGAGTTGAAGGAGCTATCTTCAGAGACATAAGGCGTTATTTCTGCGAATATTGTGGAATCTGCAGATCTAAGAAATCTCTCATAGCCTCTCATATCCTCACCCATCACCCGGTACTCTATCTCGATTTTGCTCTGTTTTTTCAAATTTTCTAACGAAATCGTCGATTGGGTTTTTTCTTTTTCTAAAGATTTGGTTTGGGTTTGGTTCAGGAGGAAAGGAACAATGGAGGAAAGGAAGAAGAGGGAGCTTCGTCGTCGAATAATACATGTGAAGAATGCAGTGCTACCTTTAAGAAGCCTGCTCATTTGAAACAACACTTGCAAAGCCATTCCCTTGAGGTATCTTTATTTTACTAATTAATTTCGTATTCAATTGCTTTTAATTACGTCTCAATAATCATTTGCGCACCCATTAACTAATGCTTTTTGAACTCTTGGTTCATCTATTTGACTTGTGTATCAGACTTAGAAAGAATCGGCTTTGACTAGTTTGTTTTCCTTGTGTGTTCATCTGTATTAAGTATTAATGCTTTTGCAGGAATCTTTTCTTTATATGAGAAAACAAAATATCAATGGATTTTATAGCGTGAAGCATTGGATCCCACAGAAAGAACTCCAATATGCGAGAGGCTGCATTTTTACAGCTTGAATGGACTAGTATCAGGTTGGGAGACCTCCTGAGAAGCTCCATCAAGTGAGCCTCAGTCACGCGGTGTGGTATACTTTGAGGTTTGAAACTTGTTTATATGCCTGTATAAGTCATTGTTAGTTTGCTAGATGCTAGTAGCTTCTAATTCTTTTTTCTTTTTGTTACAGAGGCCATTTGTTTGTTCAGTTGATGATTGCCATGCTAACTATAGGAGGAAAGACCACTTGAATCGCCACCTTCTTCGGCACCAAGGAAAACTTTTCAAGTGTCCAATTGAGAACTGCGATCGAGAATTCGCATTTCAAGGCAACATGAAAAGGCATGTGAAAGAATTTCATGATGATGAGGATCCATCTTCCCCTGGTCTCTGTAGTCAGAAGCAACATGTCTGCCAGGAAGTAGGATGTGGAAAGGTGTTCAAATTTGCGTCAAAGCTGAGAAAGCATGAAGATGCCCATGGCAAGTTGCTTAGCTTTTTCACTTTCCAAAATTATATTAAAGCATGTCATTTGATTTAACCTTAATTCAATTATTCTTGGTTTGAAAAGAAAAGGAAGCACTCTGTATTGGAATGTGGTGATTTACCTGTTATCTGATGAATGCCTTACCAATTGCAGTGAAGCTAGATTCAGTGGAAGCATTCTGTTCTGAACCAAGTTGTATGAAATACTTTACTAATGAGCAATGCCTTAGGGCTCATGTGCAATCATGCCATCAATATATTAATTGTGAAATATGTGGGACAAAGCAGCTGAAGAAGAACATCAAGCGGCACCTTCGATCACATGAACCAGGAGATGTATCAGAGAGAATTAAGTGTGATTTTGAGGGTTGTTGCCATACATTTTCAACTGTAAGATGCTGCTAATCTTGAAATTATTTATATGCAATTTGTTTACATTTAGTCATTAGAACTTTAACATGATTGTTTGGGCCCAAGAAAGTGTTCTGTACCATAATTCTTTTCTGAGTGTTGAATTTTCTTTAATTTTTTACCAAAACACTGATAGATATTCTGTTGCAGAAATCAAATCTTCGTCAGCATGTCAAGGCTGTGCATGAAGAACTCAAGCCTTTTGCATGTAGCTTCTCTGGATGTGGCATGAGATTCTCATACAAGCATGTTAGAGATAACCATGAGAAATCAGGGTGCCACATTTATGTTCCAGTAAGTTATTTAGTGATCAATGCAATTGCTGGTGGTATATTGTCATGATTGACAAAGATTCACTGTTGGTTTTTAATTGTTTCTGTTCAGGGGGACTTTGTAGAGTCTGATGAGCAGTTTCTTTCGAGGCCGAGGGGTGGGCGGAAGAGAACATTCCCCACTGTTGAAATGCTTATTCGAAAAAGAGTGACTCCACCACAAATGGATACAATGACGGATCTGGGGCCTAATCTTGGTTGCTCTTAGCCAGATATGAGGACTAAACTTTTCTAGGACCTGCCTTCCCTCCCTATACTAAAGAAGTAGGTGAATGTAATGTATAGCATACATAGGCTATGTTTTTCTTGCATGCCCCATGTTTTTTCTTTTGTAGTTAACTTTGTAATTAAAAGGCGAAGTTTATATGTAATGAGTTATTTTAAGTTGTAGCCATTGGTGGAGAATGTTGTTTTAAACCAATAAGTTATAGTTATATATAGTTGAATTTGCATTCCCTCTTTATATGCCTAGGCTGCAGAAACATCGACCCCGGTTGTTTCCCGCAGGTAGTGTAGGGTGCAACAGTCTGTCCACCTTGGGTCTGCTGTCTCAAAGGGCTGAAAGTACTTTGCTCTCTCACAATAATAACCTACCAAAAAGGACGGGTAGAGATCTCTCTCCGTAGGATTGTTATAAAACCGTGCCTTTAATTCAAACCAAATCCATGACATAAACACGCAAGAATACACAATAAACAAGTCATTTGGACGTAATTAAATGAATTCAAAGCCATTTAAGCGTTTGATTCCATGTGAATAAAATCAAGCGATTTTTTGGAAACAGGCTGCAGGATGGATGGATAATTAAGTTAGAGTTGAACCCTTTTTGGCAGATCATTGTTGGTATAATCTCTTTTTGAGTCTTTGACAGAATGGTTGAAAAAAGGGAAATAAAAAGATTTTGATTTTTTACCTATTAAATATTTTATATATTTATTATGAAATCCTCCAAAATCTTGCCGAATTTAAGTCTTACTTTGCTAAGTTGCTTCAATTTTCAAGTTTTCACTCTCCTCTCCGAGCCTTTCCTGCCAGCCAGTGACAGTCCTTTCTCTTTTCTTTCCCTCCCGTCTCCATTGGTCTTTCTCGTGTTTCCTCCGTTTGCTTCAGCCTTAAGTTCCTAATCCCTTGTGTCACTCAAGTCTCAACAAAGTACACTTCCTCTCTTTTATTTTTTTCAAAAAAATAGTATATCTTTTTTCTTCCCATTTCTTGCTATGAATCTTCTTGAGGTTAATGAGTGATTTTTATTGAATTGGGAATCGCCGAAAAGAGATTACTTGCATAAATAATTTCATTCCTTGCAGGGAAAAAGAATTTCCATATTGACGTTGTTTTGGCTAATTGCCACGTTGCAATTCTTCGTTTTGTTTTTTGATCAACTTATGCAGGACAGTAGATTTGGAAGAAACATGTCGGTGTCATCTTATGGAAGCGAGTACAAGAATTTCAAGCAAGTTACCCGTGAACGTGAGTGCATCTTATTTTCCTCGATCAGTTACACTGTGTTTCCAGTTGTTTTCTTCATCAGTAATAGCAGTAGATTGTTCATTGAACATTCGCTCAATAGCCTAGCTGTAAGTCTATGAAATGGATTGATTCCCAAGTAATGTCGTTTGTACTAATTATAGAGTGAGCAGAAACATAGGATTGATAGAAGAGAATAGAAAACTAAGGGAACTGACAGGAATGGAGTGAAGTGAAGTAATCTAAAGTGAAATAATTTGCCTTTTGCCTTTTAGGTGTTGGGATGGAGGAAGTGATAAAAGCTCAGTTCAACATTGAAGTGAGACTGTAGATAGGATGACATGTATCATTAAGTAATGATTGGTTTTGAAAATGGTTTCATTGAGTAATGTCATGTATCTCCAATTGTCTCCTAGATGTGAGACAAAAAGAAGCTGATTGAAAGGCTAAACCATTAGGATTTTATTTTATTGCTCTTTTATGTTTTGCTAGGGAAATTGTAATTTATACTATTTAGAAATCATTAAGAGATATTCAGAATTATGCATGCTGCTTTGTGTTTGTATTAGGTTTTGCACTTAAGCTATTTCTAGTTTTGATAGTTTTGGATTATGACTTGTTGCAATTGATATTTGAATATTGAATGTTGAGATTTCCCTTTCCCTTGAATTTCTCATTTCTCTTCCCTTTTCTTCTATCTCTCTTTCTTGAATACCTCTATTTCTCCCCTTGTCCCTCTTTATGCTCTCTTCCTTTATTTTTCCTTGTCCTTTTCGTTTTCTGTATCACTTCACTCCTGGAGATATGGTAAGCAACACTCTCTCCCTCTCTCTTAGTTTTTAACATTTTGCTTCTCATCCATATTGCCATCCAAACAAGAAAAATTTAGTAAATCTCCTCACATCATTTCTCAACTCCACAATTCTCTCAATAAGAATGCAATGTAAAGTTTAAGAGCATATTAACTGAAATGGAGAAGTGTAGTCTTCTAATGTGTTTCAATTAAATTATGCTAAGCTATGTTTGGTTTTCATTCTATGGAAAGTGAACTGATTCTATATTTCTCAATTGTCTTGGTTAGTAAATGGAGGGTTGGCAAATTGTTCTTCACTAGAAATGGTTTTGGTGTTGCTTCAATTTTCTTAGATTTTTGACGATTTATATTTCTTTACTTCACTTGTTGGTGTTTTTAAGTTCATTGGGTTCTCTTTTTTGGGTGCATAGTGTAGCTATCTTGTTAACCTACCTCAAATATTTGATCCAAATTTTTTCCCAACATAAATTGGATGTATATTAGGATTGTTGCATGATATGCTTCACTCGACCAAGACAGCAGATTCAAAGTCAACGTGGAAGGTATATGCAGCTTATCTCTTCACGTCATTTATGGTTTGTAGAATATATAGGATTTGGTATCTGGCACTTCTCTTATATTTGGAAAGTCAAAAAGTTAAAAATGGAGAGGCAGTTGTGGAGCATTAAATTTTCTTTTGATTCCAGGCTTTATTTTCTACTCAGAGGCATTGTGTATAATAAAGAATAGTGTTTAATGTTTTGATGTAGAAAGAAAATTATTTGTCATGCCAGATTTCTATATAGAGGTAATGGTTTGTGAAGTTTTGTAAATTAAAACAAGAATTTGAACCTTTTTCTGTGTGTCCGTACTGATTGGTTGCATGTTGTGGAAATTTATTCTTCATTTTAATTTTTGAGATAGTTTAAGAACGGGGAAGGGGTATTGAATTTGTGCATATGAAGGCTTTACTCAGCTTCTGTAAGTGTAAAATTTAGGTTCAGACAAAATGTTGACGGTCCAAAATAAGGTTTTGAAATGACAAAATGGTGGCTTATCTTGTCTTTAAAAATGATTTCTTAAAATTTTTTACCAAATGGTTAATCTTGAGCCTTTGTTTGGGCCAGAAATTGTTAACCACAGAATTCATGTTTTTGACTGCAAATGCATCCCTAAAATCATCCTTAATGGTCAATATGATTAAATTTGGAAGTTATTCTAAAGAAGAAACTTTTGGTTGAATATTTTAGTGGAGGCACGGTATAATTATCTTCAAAATATTTGATCAACATTTTATGTGCCTCCACTTCCCCTTCCCTAGATCCATCTCTGCTACTGCAAGTTTCCAAGTTGGGACCATTTAATGGAGCATCCAAGTTTCATGTCTGCTGAAGTGTCTTTTGCAGCATGGCTCTTTTCTTAAGTTTATGTGACTTAGTTCTTACTGCAATTTTAATCGTTCTTGTATTTATTTAATATAGCTTCACGTAGGGTTTGTGTGGTGTATAGTATGAGGTTATTTTGATATCTGTAGCTCTCATGTAAGCAATAAAGCAATTTACTCCTGTTTGGAGTTTAGATGCATGCTACAACAGGATATAATATAGCCATGCCAAATAATTCTTCTCCCATATGCAGGTCTGTCTGTATCTTTCTATATATACAAATGCATATATTCCTGTGTGTCTATTAGATATGGATTGATTTAGATTGTTGTAGAATTTGTTTTTTGTAATTGTCAGATAAGCAAGCATTCACGTAAGCAAAAGCAATTTACTCCTGTTTTGAAGTTTAAATGCATGCTAGAGTGGGATAATAATTTATATATGCTAAATAATTATGCTAGAGTTTGCGAGTTTGATGGCTAGTCTTATGATTTATCTTATTCCATGTTTAAGTGTTGTGAATTTTATGACATAACTTCTGCATAATCAGGTGGTGATGGGCAGCATTATGTATTTTGTTTTGAACTTGCAGGGTTTTTTTTTTAGGATTTATGTCTTTTGCATATCTTATGACCAATGCTAATATACATGTATAGATATAGGAATATGTATGTATAAATAGACACACACCACACGGGACTGAAGAGAACAATGTGGCTTGAGCTTAGGACCTTTACAGCTCTACGCAGAGCGGACCCTTCACAATCAACTAAACTAAGCAAAGGCTTCTATTCTCTAGCTTTTCTTGCATTATTTGTTGTCTTTCTGTTGTCTGTCAAGACCTATATCTGAATTGATTATTTAGCTAATGTTATATAATGTGTGATTGGTGGAGCACGATCTTCATATGGTGCATATGCATTTATTCTTCTTTCAGTAGGAGAAAAGGAAGAGACTATGTTTTGAGAGTTATATGTTTCAGTATGTTGCAAACCACTCTTTTAAAACTAGGTTGGACCAACCAGCTCAATCAATTGGCCTTGTGTAAGTATGAGTTGTTTAATAGTATTTAGGTAGTTGTGGTTCTCCTTGTCAGATTTCATGTGTTAAAAAATTGTTGGTAATAATTTTTCCTTGTTTTGTTATCTCCAATTGATGTGCAGACCATGTTAGATTTCTAATTTCTTTGTTGAACTTCTTATGACTGTTTCCACTGATCAAATACGGTACGCTTTTATTTTGTTTTTGTTCACTCTGTAGGCTTCAAGCAACTAGCATATGATTAGTTTCAAATGTCATGATCATTTCTCTACTTGAAATATTTGTTGCGTAGATATGGTGGTGAATTGTCTGCACGAAACTTGCAAAAGATGGTTCAAGCATTGCCACAATATAGTGAACAAATTGACAAGCTCTCCCTCCATGTAGAGGTTCGTTTCTTTATATGTCAACAAATCATCTTTTGTGTATATCCAGATGAAAAAAAAGAATATTTAGTACAGAAATAACATTCTTGCTAAATATTAAGGGTAAATGGTATAGAGGTCCTTTTGTAATTAATGCTTTGATACAAATACACGGGAGACTACCACATTGGTAGACTCTCTAGTTTCTACAATCTATCTTTTCTCATATCCTGGTATCAAAGTTACACATGCTATTAGACTAGTCTCACTAAGATGGTAGGAAAACCTACTTCCAAGAGAGTGGCTTTCGCCTCAGTAATTACCTAATGAGAGAGAGCAGATGCCACAGTCGCCCATTGTGCTAGGGAACACTGGACATATTTTATATAGGTTGGAATCTATGAAGATACTAGACTAAGGTGTAGCCCTGCCACCAGATAAGGCCGTTTCATGCTAGGCATCCGGACCTACTATGCTCAAGCTGCGTCCCGGGCACACTTGCTATAAAGAATTCTTTTAAAATCCAAGACAACAAGCTATTAGGCCAGGGCCTGAGGAGAGGAACTATTTCACGCATGGATGCAATGACCTTAGACTTGAGATCGATGCAAAGGCATAGAATGAATGAATCCTATGTCATCTATACCATGTTTTGGGGCTGTCATAATGTGACAGTTTCTACTTCTGTCGTCTCTGTCTATTCCATTTAGGGAATGGGCTTATTCATTTCGATTTCTGTAAATACTTCTGTGCAAATATCTCCTCCAGCCTCAGTCTAAAAGCTCATGCAGGGCTACCTTCCATTATGTAGCTTAAAATCTTTATAAATTAAAAAAAATAAAACAAGAAAATCTTCCATTAAGTGGTCAAAAAATAAGTTACCAAACATATTAAGAAAGTTAAATTTGAAAATTGAAGTTTTCAATAAGTTGGAAATTTTCAATGGTTTATCAAATAGCATCTAAATTTGTGTAATTCTTAACCTTTTTGAATACTTTTGCTCATTAATTTCCACAAGTTTGCTGGTTCTACATAATCAACTTTGAGCCAAAGCTAAATATATTTTGCTGCATTCTGTCCGGTAAAGCTGACTATTTTAGTCGGTCCTTTAATGATTCTGGAGTGGTTTCAGTCTTGTCGTTAATACTTTTTTATATACCTTGGGCTTTGGTTCAGGTGGTTGAGCTAGGGAAAAGGACAGGTTAAGATACAAAGGTTTAAGTCAAAACTTTGTCGAGGTCCTTTCAGTCTCTTCTCAATAGCAATTTAGTGGAAAGTTAGTTGCTATTGGAGACAGGTTGGGAGGAGCCATCTCTGTGTTTAACTTCTGAGTTCCAGCAAGGTATCCAACAATTCCAGCAATGTGACTAAGACTATGTTTTCAGCTTTGATGCTTCATAAATTTATAAACTTTTCCACATGTGATCTAATGCAATGAGATATCATCATTAGCTGAGAAGTGGCATATCCAGGCATACTTAGGATTAGGAAGTAGAAATCCTGCAGAAAACACCAAGCTTTGGCCTCTAGCATCTATCTCCTTTGTTTGCTCTTAAATGGCCATTTTGTGCTCTCTTTCTCCTTTTGCGTCCTCTACCCCCTGGAAAATGAATGCAAGTATGAGGTGAAAGATAGATTGAGGCTATCGTATTTGTGATGATTGGATTAAAATTGTACGGAAGGGATTATAGCATTGGCTCACACTGAAAGGATTTTATTTATGCAGATTGCTGAAAAAATTAACAAAATGATCACAAATCTGAGGCTTAAAGAACTTGGGGAACTGGAGCAGGATCTGATTTTTGGAGGTGCAGGAATAAAGGATGTAATTAAATTTTTTAAAATAAATGAGGTAAGAGCCTGTAGAAGATTTTTTCTGAATGCATGTTGCTCGTTTTGTTAGATTTTATAAAGTCATTGTTTTATGCAGAACACTACTCGCGAGAACAAGTTGCGTTTATTGATGATTCTTGCAGCCATTTATCCTGAAGAATTAGAGGGTGAGAAAGAGCTCAACTGGATGAAGGTTGGTCTGTTTTCTCATTGTTTATTAGTAATTTCTGGTCCCTTTGGATGCCTATGTATGTAAACTAAGCATTTTCAGAATTTCCTGTTTCCCAGCTTGAATTACATTTAAAATTTCTTCGTCCTTTCTTATTTGCTTATTTATCTATTTTTATTTTTGAGTTACCAATTACATGGTCGATTTCTTTTCAGTTAGCAAAATTACCAGCTGAGGATATGAATGCTGTCAATAATATGAGATTGCTTGGGGGATCACCAGATACAAAGAAAAGCTTCACTGGAATTTTCTCTCTGAAATTTGACTTCCACAAGGTAAGTATAGCTTTTTACCTGTTAAATATAAAATGCTTTTTCTTTTGATGAGTTAGGCTTTTGACAACTTTCTATGCAATTGCCAGAGAAGGCATGTAGCTAGGACGGAATGCATTGATGTAGAGGAAACATGGCAGTTGTCACGCTTTTACCCATGATAGAGGTAGACTCATTCTAATTTTTGACCTTCCTTGTTGCTTAACATGTTTTCAATATGTTTCTATTGTGGGAACAAGCAAAGTAGAATTCAACTATCTTCTGCCATTAAAAGCTTCTTTAGCTGCAGATCAGAAGCTATGTATAAATTTCGACAATTGTTTTGGCAACATCTCTTGTCTGGACTTTTATATACTTGAGTTGACTCTAACTTTATTTCTAGGTCAGAGTGAATGTGTCTAAACAGAATACCAGGCTAATCATTCATATAACCTGTTCTCTAATAACTTATCTGTGATGTAGTGGAGCATAATACATTGTACAGCTCAATTTAATGTTGCCTAGAAAACTTCCCAATAATGACCATACTCTATTTTGGCCAATAAAAAAAATGACCATATTCTATTGACTGTTAGTCATGTTTTAAGTCCATGTTAGTCTTTTAAACTATGAACTACCAAATTTCGAATGAATTACTAGACCCATATTTTTGTCATCTTTCAGGAACTTATAGAAAACCTTAACAATGGTGAATTATCAGACAAGGAATATCCATTTCTTAATGGACCCAGTGCAACTTCCTATGGATCATTTCCTACTTCACATTTGCATCAAGTTCCTGCTCATTCAATGAGATCAAGAAGAACACCGACATGGGCTAAGCGTCCAAATGTTGATGATAAATATTCCAGGTGATTGTCATGGTTTCATCTTGATGAGTAGTCTGCATCATTTAAGGGGTGGTAGAAGGAAACTTAACCACAGTTTTTCCAAACTTACCTAATAATTTCTAGTTTGAGCATCATTTCATACCCTAGATTTTGTTTTCCTGATGTCATTTTGCAAGCTAGATTTGATGCTCTGAACTTTAGGTATTGTTTAACAATGTCAGTAGTGTTAATAGCTGTTTCATATCCCTCCTGAATAAACAACCTAATCTTAAATGGCAGTTTATGTTGATCTTGTTTGGTAATGCTATCTGGTATATGATATGCTGCCATGAAGAAAAGAGTAGCTGTCTCTCTGCCACTTTATATTCTAGATCTTTTTCCTTGTTGAAAACAAATATCTAATTCGTTTCCTAACTAACTTTGTAATAGTGATTCAATACTGAAACATGCATCCAGTGATTTGAAGAGGATGGGTTGGCGTATTTTTGTATTTATTGCAGGTGGAGCCACTCGATCAGAGGTATGAAAAAGTTTCAGTAGCAATTCCCAACGATGGTGATTGTTTCTCCTTTTGATCTTGGCTTAGTGTGAAACATAATTTTGCAGTTAAGAGTTTGTGACAAACTAACGAATAAACTGAAGCGGGAAATTGTTCTTGGCTCTTCATGTCTTGATGATCCTTCACAATTTGTATCAGCAACAGCTTTCGCCTATCATTCAAGTCTCGAAATTAACATGACTTCATAACAAATCATCCATTATTGAGCAGAGCATTGGGGATGTCCCAATGTGTTACAATATGTGGGTTTAGACAATGATCCTTGCCTAATGATGTTTTTTTCATTTGATTTGGTAGAAATTGAAGCAGCTTACAGCCCATGAACTCTCACTGGATGTTCTCAAGATCTGATATGCATTATTGTTGGTATCAGCCACAATTTGCAGTGATCTACTGCTTGGTTAGGAATTAGAATTTTCTTATCAATTGATAGATAAACACACACACACAGAGCATTTGTATCTTGGGTTTAACTCAAGTGGTAAGCTGATGGCTTCATCAATATCATCCCATTACAAGGGACGAGGGAAGAGCTAGGGGAAAGGGGGTGGGGATTGGTCGGAGTTGGAAGTGCTTCTATTGAGTATACACTAAGCATGAAATCGACAGTTTGGATTCTGTAACCATTGTACTTGCAATTTGAACTCTCAACTCATCCAATTTGGAGCATGACATGAGGAAGGTAGGCTATGGCTTATCTTTAAAGAAGGTTTCTATTGCCTACATTAAAATGGTTTTTTAAAAAGGGGAGAGAGGGATGGAGATAAAATAAATTAGAGTTTAGAGTTGAAGTTTGTTTGATTAGTGAAAAAGTAGGAGAAACTGTAAGAAAATGAGTTTGCTGTCTTTGTCTGAAATTCGGTTTCATATTAATAAATTTCAAAGATTGGGATTAAAATATAATTAAGATGAATTTATTTGAGGTTTGTGAAGGAAAAAACAGTTAATTTTTTTATTAATTAAGAAAATAAAAAAAAGAAAATAGTTAGAATTTATGAAGGAACTGTTTTTTGAATTATTTTTAATGAAAATGATATTATCATGAAAAATTTTAAAAATATGCTTTTCACTTACCATCCTACATATGCAATGTTGTTCAAAAAATTGACCCAATTTATTTTGAATGCTTTGTATAAATCAAAATCCACACTATTCTTTTCGACAATATAGTGTTCAGTGAATCATCAGATATAGAATAATCAAAATCCTAATTATCATTCCTCGATTTCTATGTCGTTAAATGAGAGATGCTCAATGTAGTTTAAAGGATTGCCTTCCTACCATCATAAAGTACCAAGTGAAGATAAAGCATTTAAAGTTATCAAATTCCATGATAAAGGAGCCCTCCACCAAGGGCGGAGTGTCCCTTTGTAATGGCCCCACAAAATTTATGAAATTTTTTATATATTATATATTTTTAATAATTTTTAAAATATTTTTTATTAAATAATTAATATAATTAAAAAAATAAAATGACTTTATAAACTCTATTCAATTTTATTCAAATTTTTAAATTTTTTTAAAATTTTTAAATTTATCCACCCATCTTTCCCTTTTTTCTTTTTTATTCTTATATTGTGAAATTATAAAAAAGTAAAGTTTTTATTTAATTTTTTTAATATATATTATTATTATTTATGTTTTTTAATTATATTCTATTTGCTCATATAT